AAAAAAAAAGGAATAAGCCATTCAAATAAAGAGCCCAATAAGCAGATGGCGGGTGGGTGCGGTTTTAAAAATTGGTCAAAAATGTTACTGCGGATGGATGGCGGACGGATGATGAATTTTGTCATGCGGTTGCAGATGAAATAAAAGCCCCTACGCTCATCTCTAATACCTATGTCAACACAATATAGTAGATAAAAACATTGCTTATTGCATTCAAAAAACGTAAAAGTACCCAGACAACCTGCAGGAATCTTTTAAGAAAACAAAGGTTTAATATCATTCAACGATTAAACAAATTTCCAAAACGAACCCAAAAGTGAACTTACTGTATTCAGACTCCTCTCGTGGGCTTCATCCAGGATCACAATGCTGTATTGTGTTAAGCTGGGGTCTGCAAGAATCTCCCTCAGCAGACAACCATCTGTCATGTACTTAATCATAGTGTCCTGATAACAAGACAAAAACTGATTAAATCACACAAACTCAACTAAATACATATTTTAATATACTTTAACATACTTGCACTTGAAATCATTCTTTAATTTGTTTTCTACACACATTTACCATATTTGTAAATAATATAATGTGTAAATTATTTAAAAAGGTAAGAAATAAATATATAAACAAATACATTCATGAAAAATAGTCTCACAATGCAAAAAAAAAAAAAAAGAAATTAAAATAAAATATTTGAAAACATTCAGTTTTTTCTTGTTCTACTGCCTAAAATTATCAATTTTTCAAGCATAAAAAATCTAAGTGTAACTAACGTCAATATTTGGCCCAACATAAAACTTGATCTATTTGTTTATTTTATTTTTTTATTTGTTCATTTATTTCTTTAGGAAAAAACTCATGCTTGACATAACAAAGCATGTTAAAACAATGTTGTAAAATACTGCTAAAGTTGCAATCTCTAGTGTCAGACGATCGTTCAGAAACCACTCTACTATGCTTTACTGCTAAATGTATACATTCATGTCAGTGTCAGTATCAGGGCTGATAGTGGAAAAAATTCCTGAGCCTGAACTTTTTTTCCTTGCCCCTGAGGTGAGTAGGGGTGGGGGTACTATGTATGCAACGCACTTTTAACACATAACTTGTGGGCCCCTGGGCCCAAATATATTAACAGCCTATGTGTAACCCTGATCATCATTATTGTCAAGTGGCTCTTTTTAGACACATGCCAGTGTCAGTGATCTTGTGACATTTGCCAGTAGGTGTCAGTATAAGCATGTTATAAGCACATTAATCTTATAAGTCTCTTTGCTTTAATATTTAAAAATCATTAGGCATATGACACCTGTTATCTTACATGCATAAATGTTATGAGTTTTCAACATGCATTTTATTATAACTTTTTAAAGGATATTATTTAAAATACCTTAAAATGAAAATAAGTTAGATAATAAAATAAATGAATTAATTAAAAACATAGAGAAGTCCATATTGTAGGGAACAAAGGAACTGCCAGGATGCAATAATATACAGTACAACAGATAAGTGTAACCCCTCCCATACATAAGCATGCCACAATAAATTTGACTGACATGTACTGTCAAATGACTATATTACGTACGGAAGTATGACTACGAATACATAAAATAAATGCGTTTAAATTAAAACATCGTGGAGTAGCTCAGCAAATAAACTAACTTGCGACGCGATAAATTAGGTTAAAAGTCGCGTAATGATTAAATATGGTTTTGCTCGTGTTAATTAATGTCATAAGCTTCGCCGGGTGTCGATGTCACTGCAGTGACATGCAGCGCGACACTCTGAGTGACACAGGTCACTACACATGCCACTAGCGAGTGACACATGACAGTGGAAAACCGGACTGTGCCAGTGTCATCTGTACGTCAGATGTCGTGTCACTCCATGTTAAAAGTGCTACTGTGAATCCGCGTTCAAGCGCACACAATAAGCTAAAACTCGCCCCAAGCACCGGCAAAAACAAATAACAATGAATGTGTCGAGGAAAGAGTAAGGACATATCTTAATTATTTATTTATTATTTTATTTTATTTATTTTTATTTTATTATTTATTATTTTAATTTATTATTTACTTATTCTGAGTCAGTGTCGTAAAGATCCTGACTGGCAATCTCCTCTTGGACTCGCCTTTAGAAAGAAATTCATCTTTACGGATTACATGAAGGAGTTTTTTTGTTTTCGATTTGTTTTATTTCGTTAAGTAATAATTTAAAGCTTTCTATAAATATATTTATTATGTCTGTGAGGCATATACATTTTGCTTCATTTTGTTAAGCGCTCCTGTTAAAAAACCAGATGACAGAAAGTGCATAATTTTGGTTTTCTTTATTTTATAAAAACGCTGTAAAGTTTTTTGATGTATTACTCGTACTTTGTGAGCAAAAATGACGGATAACTTTAAATTGCTCCCACTGAAAAAATGCAAGTGATTGCTCTGGCGCCTCGATGTCCTGCAAGCTTTTTATAAGCAAACTATGCGCCTAATAGCACACATTCTTTAACGTTTAAGCTACCATTGTTTTATACTTGAACTGTTTTATATCTTTTATTTTAGGCAAGTCGTGATGATCTGAGAAGGCAAACTGATCAAACAGACAATGATGGTCTTCCGCTGGGCGCTGTTCGTTAAAAAAAAAACTTAATTTTAACGAATAAAAAATGCTCCAAACGTTTTTCTAAATAAGCTGAATAAAAAACGAAACTAAATATAAACACTTTGCCATTAGGCTACATACAAAACTGAACTATTTCATAGCTGAAACACTAAGTTGTTTAAGGAGAAAGGGGAAATATATTTTTGTCCCGTCTATTGCTTCACCGTTATTTCGAGAATAAACCCAGCGTAAATATGCAGATGTCATTCCCAAAACATATCAGCATATATGTGCCGAAAACGAAAGTTTCAAACAAATTCTGAATGGATTATAGCCTGGAAAGTGCACAGCACGCTCCTCTTATTATCATTAAAAAGCGTCACTAATCTTAGTTCATAGAGATCTCACAAAGATCCGTTATAATTTATAAAGCTCTCTAAATTACACAATAAATCTTTTATTTACATGGCGTCTACACTCAAAAGATGATTCACGAGCACACAAAATGGCACTTAATAAAAACCAATCCGCCGCTTTCAGCAGTGAGTGAATTCTGTGAATCTAGAGAAATGACAGATCAATATCCGTGAACCTGATTTTTTTTCCCCCGCAGCCACAGTACGCCGGAAATCCGGCGTGGTGCCGGAACGCTATCACCCCTGCAGTATTGTAATTATCAATGCTGCTTGTTATTTCCTTTTTAAAATATTTGATGAATGTAAGTTCAAAACAAAAGCATTTTAAACACAAATTTTTGTAACATTATATGTGTCTACTTTGTAATCAATTTATTGCATCCTTGCTAAATAAAAGTATTACTTTCTGAAATAAGATGATCTCAAATCATTGAATGGTAGTGCATATTCCCCGGTTTTCTGTTTAAAATAGTACCTACTGAACTTGTGAGTTCAAAATGAAAAGCAATTCCATGCAAATGTCAACGTTGGCATGAACAGAACTTTGTTTTCAACAAAATAGCAAAACACTTATAAAAAGAATAGGTTTTTTGTGTATGCTTGTATTTTAAAGTACTGTAAAAATACTCAATAATGTCTCTGTCAATGTTTTCATACAATTATATTTGATTTACCAAAGTCACACAAGCGGCAATTCTGCATCCGTCACATCCATAACCAAGTTTTTTCCTCATAAATGCAAAAATGAATTCATTTCTGTTCTATAGTGAGACAACTCTTATCATGTTGATCAGCATTCTTTCTTTTGGGTTGTGCAGTTTAAATTACAGAATTTTTATAAAGTATATTGCATACTGCAATTTTTTTGGTCACATCCATAACCCATGTTGATTTTTTCATTTGAAATATTAAAAAAAAAGTTTACAGATTTCTATTTTTCTGATCCCATAAGTCTGTGGTTTAACTGTTTTGAAAAATATAAACAGACTTTAACATATACTTTCTAAGTGAATTTATGTTTTGAGATTTTACTGCAAATGTCACATCCATGACGCTGGATTTGCTCAGGAGAGTGTGTGTTTTTTCCTAACTTGCCTTTGTAGAGCAGTCATCAAAGCGCACTTGGTAGCCCACTTCTTCGCCCAGCCTGACCTGCATCTCACTGGACACTCTCTGGGCTACAGTGATGGCAGCAACCCTCCTGGGCTGAGTCACACCAATCCTGCCATTCCTGCTAAGACCTGGACAGAATAAAAACATCCTGAAGGTCAGATCTTGCTTCTGTACACAGAGAAGAACTAGGGATTGAATTCCAGTAATTGAGGTAAAGTTGGTTTTATACATTCACACATTTGTTTTTTTTAAACAGACAGCTTGTGACACGGTCCATATATTGTTTAATGGAAGTAAACTTGGGGTAAAGCTCCTTATTATTATATTGTAATAATAGTAAAGACTCTTATATTATAGTAAAGGATATTTGCAAATTCTAAACATGGAAATCATATTAGCAGCCAATGTCTATCAAAGTGCAACATTGTTCACTGTCAATTACATGGTGGTAATGTTGTTTTGAAGTCATACTTGGATGCTTTTTCTGACCAGTTATTCAAAGTAGCATGATGAACATAAAGGGACCGTGTCACAAGTTGTCACTGAACGAAATTTGGGTGAAGTTGTTTAAATATTTGCACATTCAGACTTTCTTCTTAATATTATATTATCAGAAAAAAATTCTTTGCCATTTCTAAATAGGCAAATCATATTAGCAGATTAAAGTACAACATGGTTTATGGTCCATTAAATGGTGCTAATCTTGTTTTGATAGTTGAATGCTATTTCTGACCAGTTATTCAAAGTAACATGGTAAACAATATAGGGAGTCTGTCACAACAAGTCCTCACTGAACAAATGTTTAAATGTTTAAAAAGTATAATTGCAAGTTGCAAGTATAATATATATATATATGAATAGAAAACCAACTTTACCCCCAAAATTACAACTAATTACAGTTACAACTGACCTGCTTTATACAAGTACTGAGGTAGCTGCGTGGTTTTTCCGCTGCCAGTTTCACCAGTTACGATCAGGAAGGTGTTTTCCTCCACAGCTTGAACAAGTTTGTCTTTGTACTGATAAATAGGAAGCTTTTTTGATTCATGGTGCTCTGTTTCACTGCTCCTCTTTTTTGTTGACATGATCTCTGTGTGCTGTTCCTCCGCTTCAGAAGGTTGCCAACATTTGTGACGACGAATTCACAAAAAGCTCGACAAAATATTACGTTGTCATAACCATTAGAAAGAAACACGTTATATGCGTTATAAGAGTTTAGTTCATCTTCATTTCAAGATGTTGCATTGGCCTGCTATACCTTGATGTTCGCTCGAAGTCGAACTCATTTTCCTCACAGTTCACGAAAACTCACCAGCGCCACCCGCTGCACTGGATGGAGAGTATCTGCTAATGCTTGTGATAGCGATGCCAATGATTGGATTCAATAAACAAATCAAAATATCTAATAAAGTTTCTAATTAAAATGTATCTAATATCTGAAAACTGGAACAGATTTTACTATTTTTGAAATAATGAAAATGAAGGTTGAATGCAAGGACAGAAAGTGGACTTTAGTGTGTGCATGACACAATGAAGCCACTGTTTGTAATGCAAATCAAGAGAGGTAGATATATAATTTCAATCTTTGCAGCAAGTAAACCAACATGTATGTGTCACTTAACAAATATTGTAGAAACGAAGACATTGAACATCAACATTTATTAAGATATTGAACTGTTTAGTAAAAAATGTCTGTAATAAAATTGTGTGCGCTGTAGAACTGTCATCGCAGTCTGACATCTGATGCTTCATTCTCCGTATATTGGGTTTTTAAACTGGTAGGCTGCTGGAGAAAATAAAGTTAAAATATAAATATATTTTGTAATGGCTACAATAATTAATAAAATTCAAACAACATAAATGACCATTCAAAACTATGAAACTATGAAAATGAATTACGCTTTTGTTTTTTGCGTTTTTTGCCAGCATTTGTTGAGATGGAAAGCTCCGCCTGGTTGACTGAAATATGGAAAATATATTGTATTATTTTCATTCCTATAACACACAGTCAACATGTTAATCTTTAAGCATAAATATTGTCTTACCATAGTATGGTTTTACATCTGAATGACTAGTTGGCTCAGGAACAGCTGTGAAGGCTGAACATTTCAAAATAATGTAAAACTATTTGGTCATTTGTATTGATCAAATAAATGAATTTTAGAAAATGAAGAGTCACCTCTCTGAGGATGTTGCCCATGCTGCACAGCAGAACTGGGATATGATGCAGGTCCATCATTTTCTTGACATGAAAAAAAATACAACACCAATTTTTCCCCAAAATTGTAAAAAGCTATTAATTTGAAACAAACTTGAAATCCAGTCAGAGTCTAACAATGTAGATGTTTGTCACAAGTAATTAACAATTAAAATATAAAACACATACCATAAACAACTGAAGGTCCCCTTCTTGGACCTTCACAAATAAGATTAAAGCATGTTTATTCTCACTTTAAAATACATTTTAGCAGCATAAAAATCATAAAAACATTTACTGTTGTCACTTATGCTATCTATTAATTAAACAATATATCAATAAATTAAACTTGATTTGATGTAACACAATGCCCATAGTGCCCTCCTGTGTTTTTTTTTTTTCTTTTTTAAATATTTCCCAAATAATGTTTAACAGGAAATACTGTAAAAAATGTCTTGCTCTATAATATCTTTTCATGTGGAGAATTTTTTGATTGTTTTATTTCAGCTAAAGTAAAAGCACTTTTAAATTTTTCATAAAACCATTTTAAAGTAGACATTAGTGACCCCATAGGGTGACACGGTGGCGCAGTTGATAGTGCTGTCGCCTCACAGCAAGAAGATCGCTGGTTTGAGCCTCAGCTGAGTCAGTTAGCGCTTCTGTGTGGAGTTCAGTGCATGTTCTCCCCGCTTTCGCGTGGGTTTCCTCCGGGTGCTCTGGTTTCCCCCAGAGTCCAAAGACATGTGGTACATGTGAATTGGGTAAGTTAGATGTCCGTGGTGTATGTGTGTGAATGTGTGTGTATGGATGTTTCCCAGTAATGGGTTGTGATTATAATGGGCATCCGCTGCGTAAAAACATGCTGATAAGTTGGCGGTTCATTCTGCTGTGGTGACCCCAGATTAATAAAGGGACTAAGCCGAAAAGAAAATGAATGAATGAATATTATTATCTCCTTAAGCCAGTGGTTCTCAAACTTTTTTCACCAAGTACCACCTCAGAAAAAAATTGTCCCTCCAAGCACCATTATGACCAGTGTTGAAATACAGTAGCGTAATAGGCCCAGTAAGGCAGCTACAACTCTGCAGTTTAAAATCGTGACAGATTAACTACTATTAAGAAGAATTTTTATTATTATCAGCCACTTTAAACATTATAAATTGTTTAAACTTGAATTTGAAAATGAAAAAAAAATGTCAACGTTTAAATTAAAACTTGTTATTTAAAAGTTTATTAAAAATGGTAGGCTACTGTATTAAAAGTAAAAAAAAAAAATATATATATATATATATATATATATATATATATATATATATATATATATATATATATTTAAATGTAAAGTGTTAATCTATAGTAACCTATTCATCAAAACCTGGAAATGTTGCTTGGACCTCATAAATATAGGCTATATGTCATCATATTCATATATGAACCATTTTTGATAAATTCTGAAATATATGTTGCATATACATATGACATTGATATTGGATTACTCTGTGTACCACTAGAAGGAAGCCTGCATATACCACTAGTGGTACACGTACCACAGTTTGAGAACCACTGCCTTAAGCAATATATATTTTCGATTGTCTATAGAACAAACCATCATTAAATGACTTGCCTAATTACCCTAACTTGGCTAATTAACCTAGTTAAGCCTTTAAAAGTCACTTTAAGCTGAATACTAATATCTTGAAAAATATTGAGCAAAGATAAAATAAATCAGTTATTAGAGATGAGTTATTAAAACTATTATGTTTAGAAATGTGTTTTAAAAAAATCTTCTCTCTGTTAAACAGAAATTGGGGGAAAATATACAGGGGGGCTAATAATTCTGACTGCATCTAATGCTTTTACAGTTCACCCAGTTCACGAAAGAAATTGCTTCTTACCTTTTATAGTGTTCAGCTTCTCTGTTCACACACCTTTTGTTTCCCTCCATATATATATTTACTCTTAAATTGTAACTGACTTGCATATCAACACATTTTAACTAAATATCTTCTTTAATTTTATGCAGAAGAAAAAAAAAGTCACCAATATTTTATGTGAGTCAGTTTATTGTATGTTGTGTGATTGTAATAAAAAGTGATGTTTCTCACCCCGGTTGTTTCTGTGACTTCTGCTTTGTTCGACGGGATAGTTGCCTATATATGTGGAATGGTTTTCATGAAAATGAAGAAACCCCATAAAGAAAGCACACTGTTGAAGATTAGGTATATTACATAATGCTCACCTTCACTATGTATTACATTAACAGAGTTAGACTCGGATGATTTATCCTTTCCTGTAAAAAAAGAAGATATATTTTCAGAGATGAAGCAGATTTTATAACATTCATTTGTGTAAATATTGAGCCATTAGGTGACAAGAAATCAGTGCTCACCAAATAGTTTTGAAATCATGCTGAATACAATGAAAAGCATGATAAACAACCCAGCTCCAGCAGCAAAGTAGAACCAGGGACTTAAATAATAAATTTCTGCATGGAAAAATACAGATTATTAAATAAATTTGAACAGAAGGAGATTTAATCATTTTGATTTTGTTTTTACAGAAAAACATTCATCACCTTAGAATTATATATATATATATATATATATATATATATATATATATATATATATATATATATATATGCAGGGTTTAACGCTAAGGATAACGCAAAATTTTTACGGGCCGCACCAAAAAAAAAAAAAAAAAAAGTTAATTTCTTTTTCTTAGCCACATATATTAAAAAACGTGTCACAAAATATTGTCTATGAATCTAGGATTTAAATATTTGAAAAATGTTCAAATATTTAGCAGTAAAATATAGAGTGTGGAAAATGTGCAGGTATTTTATTGCAAAACAAAAGGTGGCTGACTTAAAAGTGACAGCAAATCAAGTAAAACATCGCTTCATTTTTTTCATCATGTTGTACCCATCTAAATGTTTCCACAACGTTAGAAGCTGACGTTTTCTTTTAGTTTCATAATTTGATATAGTGATTATGTTTCTGTCTATTAATATTTAGTGACGAGGCAGCACTGCACCGATCGGGCCAGTAACGATTCCGTCTACTGTCCCGAGCACCTCTTACGCTGGCCCCAGGTCATCGGGCAGTCCTTATTGTTGAGCCCTGATATATATATATATATATATATATATATATATCATCGGTAACACTTTACAATAATAGTACACGAATATTGATGTTTTAATTTGTAAACTAAACATTACTTTATTATAATGATGAGTTGATGCATGCGCTGATCATGAATTAACTTTAACTACAACATGAGTCACATGAGTCCGCTTGTGAATAACGGCTACCTGATTACCTGTTAGCACATGATTGTTTGTTAATTAATGTATTAATTACCACATTAGTTTATGCTTAATTGAACCATCATGAACTCATAAGCTGTTAATATAAATGTTGTGACTTTAATTGTAGGGGCACATCATCATTAACCCATTGTTAACTACTCATGAACTCCTTATGCACGTCAGTCTAGTGTGTTTACACTGAATAACAATGGGAAAGTGTTTTGTCAACATCAACATGAACAGTTTAAACACAGGAGTTCATTAGGATGAGTTAATGGTGTTGAGCCCCACCAAGTAAAGTCATGACATAATTATACATCAACAGCTCATGAGTTTATGTCAATGACATTTAGCTTAAACCTAAATGTTAATTAACACATTGATTAACAACATGCACTAACAAGTAATTAAGGTAGTCGTTATTTACACATGAACGCTTGTGACTCATTGTTGTAAAGTTAGTACATGATTAGTGTCCTCATCATTAACTTCTAATTAATCAATGTTTAGTTTACATATTAATACATCATTCTTGTAAAGTGTCACCAATATATCTGTTAATTAACAGTTTCCGGATTTTGTGTTTTTTCAGTTTATTTGCAGTTGTGAATTGCATTATGGGATGTTGATCTCTGCTCTGTTGACTTTTGATGTTGAAAATTAACTCTACAGTTTAACAAATTATAACATAAATAATAATATAAAGTATAAGAAATGACAGAGAAATCCATCTGTAAAATAACAGAAAATGTACTGGCAGTAAATATACAACACCAACCCAGACAATATAACACTCTCTGCATCTATTAAACTGTTAATAAAAGTCCCTTTTTCTAACCTTTCAAGGTTAAAAGTTGTTGAAAGGACGATCAAGATCCCATTGTACAGTTCAAAAGCATAAATATATGGGGGGAAACAAAAAATAAACACATGAATTATAAAATATGGAAGACAGATTCATTTTTTCTAAACATTCATACATTTATGGATGTTTTAACACAAAGGCGTCTAGATTCATTCATACAAAACACTTAGTAACACAAATAACACCTAAATAAAGCAATAAACATTACTTAATAGATGACACTGATATAAGTTATAACAAAATGTATTTAAAAAAACATGAAAATTTGAATAGATCTGTGCTTTACAACTTTCAGTTTACAATCTTTCATCAAAAATTGTTAAATCATTTTACTTTTAAAACCAGTTTCCAGTATTTTACTGTAAAATTACAGTATAATTTTCAATAAATTCCCCTGTGAAGAAGCAACCGATGTTAACCAATACATTTCTTTAATGTTATACAGTTGAAGTCAGAATTATTAGCCCCCTTTAATTTTTTTTTCTTTTTTAAATATTTCCCAAATGATCAGAGCAAAGAAATTTTTACATTAACTGATAATATAATTTTGTTCTGGAGAAAGTCTTATTTGTTTCATTTTGGCTAGAATAAAAGCAGTTTTAAATTTTTTGAAACCATTTTAAGGTCAATATTAATAGCCCGTTTAAGCTATATAACTTTTTTGATAGTCTACAGAACTACAGAACTAGACTTCAACTAAGCATTGAAGAGTGTGTTGAAAAATATCTGGTCGAATATTATTTACTTTCATCATGGCAAAGATAAAATAAATTTTTTTTTTGAAATGAGTTAATAAAACTATTATGTTTAGAAATGTGTTGGAAAAAATATTCTCTCCCTTAAACAGAAATTGGGGAAAAAATAAACACGGGGGCTGATAATAGAAGGGGTTGAATAATTCTGACTTCAAAATATAAATAAATTTGTATGTTATTGTATATTTATGTATAAATATATTTCTGCAGTAAAATAAATCTACAATTAAACAATTAAAATAAAATTACAATTGCACCAATACGGCATCCTGTAACACCTGAAACACTCACAATATTTTATAGTGAATTTCTGACAACATTTACAGTAGCTTCTTCTCATTCTCATATTTTTCCATGCTCTTAACTTACCCTGCGATGAATGATTCTGTATTTCTGTGATCCTCACTCTCCAGCATTCACTGTTCCACTCACAAAAGTACACACCAACCTCTGAAGAATCCAGATCATGGATGAGGATGGAGAAGTTTCCTTCCTCAACTAAAAGTGGAAAAGCAGTCACTCGTCCTTCTCTAGGATTTTCAAAGTAGATTCTGCCATCAGCTATGATCTTTACAAGAGTGTCTTTATTGTGACTCCATATCACTGTTTCATTGTTCAAGCTTGTATTAAAGTGACACGGGAGAAAGACTTGAGATTTCAGAGAGGCATTGATGCTGACTTCTGTATATCTTACTCTCCCGCAGCCCAAAGCTATACAAAAGCATCAAAATACAGCTGTTTAAGTACCATATAGCACATTTTCATCTTATAATAAAGTCAAAAACAGTTTTTAAGAACTGTCCGGTTGATTACCTTTAAACAAAGAAATATAAAAGTCCATTAAAATACATATACACTGAAAAATGATTGATTGGATTTGCTAAATGTTTTAAGGTAAGTGATTGCAAACAATTTATATGGGCTGAATTTAAACAAATTTCAGTAATGTTCGACTTAATTTGTTTGTTCAAATTCAGCCCATATAAATTGTTTGCAACCACCTTATGTAAATCCAATGAATTTTTTTTTCAATGAATATTTTTACATTTAAAAATCTAATTTAAACAATTATAATTAAAGATAATTAAATAGATGTAAAGAAAAACATTTGCCTACCATTAGAAGACACCAGAGCACCAACAAATATCCAAAGGCATAAAATGTTCATGATGCATGTCATTCAAGATGTCTAGACTGAAAGACCAAGACAGAAATGGAGAGGAATGTGTAGGCTGATGTCCTTCACATGCTATTTCCTGTAAAATACACATGCACAGCCTCTTAAGTCTAAAGTGTCTTCACAGTTCAAGTGACTCGTCGTTATATGTCAGATTAGGGATGCATCTATCATCTGATAGTGAAAATATGTGCTTTAAGATGCATTTGACAACAATAAATGCTAGATGTTATTATGCATTTGTGTGTTTTGAGGTTGCAGAATCAAACGCTGTCTATTTACCTCAGGTAAACTAGTTTCCTTTTTACCACATCCTGTTGCAAAGACAAAGTCAGATGTTAAAAGCATCTTGCAAGTTAACAGCACAGCCCATGCTAGAGATTACTGTTGTCCAGCTGTGTTCAGAAAACACTTCAACATGTAGCCTACATGCGTATTTATTTGACTGAAATTAAAATTTACTGAAATTAACCGAGTTGCAGGGTTTCCCCTTTTTCGGAAACAGTGCATTACTGCATCGTTTATTTTAAGTCTCGCTTGCAACAACCGCAACAAGCGCGTGCGAAAGTAAAGCCGCATAACATTTCCTATAAATGGCCTTAAAATAACACTGGAGGTTTACAACAGGTTTAAACTTATCTTCTTTACAGTGTAGCAAATGACTCTATAACTACCTGTAAGCTTATATAAAAAAATATTTATGATCTCTCATGAATTGTCGCAAAGGCGTACAGTCCATTTACTGATCCTGTTTGTTACGGGCTGATCTTTCATGTAACTATTTCGTGTGTATATATATGTATTATCTATATAAATATAAATAAACAAATATATATATATATATATATAAATATATATATATATATATATATATATATATATATATATATATATATATATATATATAGGCCTACTAATTATTTTGTCTTTTTGCAGGTTAATTGTAATAAACAACTTTCAAAATTATTATTTGCCTGTTTATCAAATTATATATTATGATATATTCTTAACTGCACATTCAACATTTATTTCTTCGATTCATTGTATCCGATTTTACCCCGTGTAGTGACTTTCCGTGATTGCTTTTCCTTCGCCTCAAATCATTATTAAAAGTAATAAGCGCGTCACCTAGTGGACAGAAGAGTCAATAGCAGGCTGTGACTATACAGATTGCAGGGAAATGATCAAACTGTTTTTTCAAGCATCAAAAATATATGTGTAATAAAGCTTTAAATTACAATAGGTTCTGTTTAACTGTCAAGGTCGTGACCATCATATATTTTAACGTGATTTGATGGCTTTAGTGTAACAATAGTTTAAATAATAATACTAAAACTAAGTAATTGTCATTTTACATTTGACTCTATCCTTTAAATCATCTAAGTTTTAACCAATTGTCAGCAAGAAGTAATCATTTAAATTATCATGAAATTAATTATGATCATTTGTTATTTTCTATATTCTAACTAAAGGTCTGAATAAGTTGCTTACATGTGTTTTATATTCTTGATTTCTCTTTGAATGAAGACAACATTTCTTACTCCATTGGCAGATTTTTTAATTAATTATAATTTTGAATACATTTTATTTTGTGTTTGTTTGTTTGTTTGTTTGTTTTAAGCATAAACTCCTAAAAACATTTTCAGAAAACAAGATTTTAAATCTTACATTAAGTCCTTAAGCAGACGCTTTTGTTTAAAGTGACTGGATGCAGACCTGGTGCAATCTGAGCTGCATCCAATGCTTTTTTAATATGCTCACATAAACCCAACCCTACCCCTCACAGTGGCATCCCTAGCTCCATTGAGTGCATCGTGTCTGACATTGCATCACTGAGATATGCAGTCTCAGCTTGCATCATCAAGGCTGCATCCAGATACTATTGGATTCAACAAGAGTCAATATACAGAAGTGCTTATACAAATGGTGTTAGTGTGAGAATTAGGTGCTAGGTGTTCTTTTACAGTGAGAGAGGAGTGTTTCTGGTGGTTTGTGTGAAGCACACCTCATAAATACAGTGTGTGTATAAGTACAGTGTATCTTTTTATTGTTTCTAGTTTTTTTTGTTTGTTTGTTTGTTTGTTTTATCTGCATTGCAAAATCAGATACAGTATGTTTGCATATTTTTCCACTTGTACACATTGTGAGCCAGGCACATAAGAAACAAAGAGAAAACTTTTTATGTAGCTCATATATTAAATCGGTTTTCAGTTGTATTAAACATTAAACATTTTTCACTTAGTTTCCTATATAATCCAAAATGTTTTAAAGAAAGATAGAAAAGGGACAATTAAAACATAATAAAGCTAACATTCATTTAATAAAGTTGCTTGTTTATTTGTATTTTACCAGTTAAACTCTGCTGCTATTTTGGGATTTCCACCTGGATTTTGCCAACCCAAATTTAAAAGCTTCCCAAACCCACATGCAGAGGTGTAATTGCAAAAATCTGGTATCCTTTTAAAGAAAACCCTTTGAATTTTCATAAAAAACCATCAGGGCTGGACTGGGGCAAAATCGGCCCTGGCATTTTGGGCCAGAGCGGCCCACTACATTCAATCAAAATGCTATCTATCTGTGCATGACCAATATGTTTATCAACTCCTATTTTATAAAACACAAAAGCCATATATATATATATATATATATATATATATATATATATATATATATATATATATATATATATATATATATATATATATATATATATATATATATTATTTTTTAAATAAATACAGACATAAATTTCAATTTAATTTTTGTATACTGTCCATTAAGATTTTAGTTAAGTTCTAAAAAATACACTATTCATTTATTTTCCTTCGCCTTAGTCCCTTATTTATTAGGGGTTGCCACACAGTGGAATGAATTGCCAACTATTCCAGCATGTTTTATGCAGCAGATGCTCTTCCAGCCACAACCCAGTACAGGAAATCACCCATACACACTCATTCACACACACACTCATACACTACAGTCAAATTAGCTTATTCAATACACTATTCACTAAGCCTATATTTAATAATAAACATAACCAAAACTGGCTTTTGATGCATGGGTAAATCTTCAAAGGGAACAGTATTTTATAACCTCATCCTGCTTGCTGTTTCACTATGTAAATAATTAAAACATAATATAAGGAAATTTGTTTCATTTTGATATTTTGATTGACAGACACCAAACAGCCTCGTGTATCTACACATATATGTGAGTGTCATCTTCACTCTGCATTTGTATAACAAAACAGGTCTTAAATATAACTGACTCTCATTTTCATCGAATAGAACGAACTTTACCCCGTCTCTTTTGCTGAATATCAGTTTTAATAATCAATAATGGCCATTATAAAAGTATAACGTACAATGAATTAATGCGATAAAGGTAAGCAATCAGTCAATGTCCAGAATCAACGTGGTTACATAAATTAATATATTAGCTTATCTTTGCCAAAACAGTTACCTGAGAACAAGTGATTCAAAAGACTGAAGAGTCGTTAGATAGAGTCAACGTGATGAATTTAATATCACGTTTAACAGCTATAGTGAGATAAGATTCAACAGATAGTTGATTAACTGTCCGACATTTACTATACTCTCACCTGGGGTTTATACTCAAAGCACCCGCGCTGAAATACTGGCTGCAACTCTTGACAGAGTGTGTGTGGTCACGTGATTTGCGTTTTTAGCCGTGTACTAGAACGAACGTAGAACTTTTCAGAACCGCTAAATAAAATGCCAGTGTGTTTCCCGCGATTTCTCTGCGCCTCCCTTCTTTTCCTTCTCTATGACTCGACTATTAATTTTGACAAATACACACAGACGATGCACGCACACACAGAGCCCAAAATACTAGGAGTTTATGATTGGGCCAGCCCAATGTCAATAAAGAAAGTGCCAATGGGCTGCAGAGTGTCACGGGCCTGCCCGGTCTGTCTGTCCGGAAAAAACACCTCTCTCCCCAAGTGGTGCTCACTGCAGAGCCATTTGGACAGAGCTGAGCTCCAACGAGGGGGAGCTTGAGCTCTCGCTCCTCCTTTCTTTCACTTCTTCTACGAGTGATGTCACTGGGGGTAGGGTTAGGGGTGGGGTTGGTGTACGCATTAAAACAACTTATAGGAGGAGGAGCGAGAGCTCATGCTCCCCCTCGCTGGAGCTCAGCTCTGCTCAAATGGCTCTGCAGCGAGCAGCGTCTCGGGAAAAAAAGCATCTACTTTTAGAGTCACACAGATCACAGCATCGTAAATAAGGCCGAAAAAAAAACGATAGGCTGCAAAGCCTTTTATGGGCCGATCAGATCTAAGACGATGATCAGCCCGGCCTAAAAAGTGCATCGGCTCAGTGGGAAACCACCCAGTCTGCCAGATGGCCAGTCTGCCCCTGAACACCATTAAAAGTGTTTAAAATATCTGTATATGTTGTCTGTGTTACAATAAACACCAAAAAAAAAAAAAAAAAAAAAAGAGTCGCTTTTTGTATTTTTTTTTTATAAACTCAAATTTGAAAGTGTACCTTTTAGGTTCTGTGTGGTCTAGCATGCTGTAATTAATTTTGGTGGTTCCTGCACATGTCTGTAATCATAGGAAAAAAGAAAAATGTCTCTACCATAATCTATGCAAAAGTTATTGTATTCCAACTGATGAGAGGTGTTATACAAGCCACAGGGATCGATCATTGTTTTCATATTTCACTTCTCGTTTGTTTGATCAAACATAATTTTGGACCACATCAAACGTATAAAAGGATTACTTAAATTACCTCAAAAACAATGGAGAATGGCCCTGAAGCGCACAGCATAAGGTAAGAGACGACAGCTGTCTGTGCTATCTGGGGCTGCTTATTGATTATGAATGTATTGTTAACATTTCTGCGACATAGAAACACCACAATTCATTCAACAACTGTTTGATATGTGAATATAATTCAGTAAAAAGAATGCTAGAACTGTATGAGCACTGGCAAGAGCTTTCATTTGAGCTATAACTTGTACATGTGTCATATGAAAAAATATGAAAATGAACCAATGTAATATACCTAGCTCGGGTTTCCAAAATACTGTATTTAAGTGTA